ATCCTGTAGATGTGTATCCTTTACAAAACATATTTGTGAAATGTTACTGCTAATTAATGGTTATATTTAATTTGCACTTAAAAATACCATTGAAACTCAAATATCTGATTAAAGATCGTCATAATTGGATTTTACTCTTGCTTACTCACTCTTAAGCATAATTATATTTAAATATTCAGTCATTGTTTATTGCATTGCACACATTTGGCATCCTTGCAAATGACATCTTGACCAATCAGAACATCTTCAATATTGACTATATAATGTATATTCATATAATGCATCGATTAGTTCATTGATTGGCATGTATTCTATTGACTCATGTGAAAATGATGTTGATTTAAAAGATCACAGCCCACAAAACACCACATAGAAACTAAAGACTGAGCAGCAGGAACCCCACCAATACTGGGGCTGATATCAGGTACTCAGTAAGGGTAGGTATATCCTGTTTCACATGTGACACCCATGGTGTTGATAAAACATCCATCAATCATATAGGGAAGAAAAAACTTATGGAATATGCCCTTGAATTGAGTGGCAAATGATAACCTGTAATCAGATAATGGTATTTTTCGAGTGTTATAAAATGATACAGTGAAAGCTGTCTAAACCGAATTTTGCATATACTGAAGTCCTGTCTAAACCATACATATTTAAAAGTCCAGTCATATCAAATTTTTATGTTTGTCAACCTGACTTAACAGAACATCTGCCAAATCAGAAGAGGCTGGGTTAAGACAGGTTTCACTGTAAAACATAACAGAATTACCAAAACATTAGGACAGCACAATAGACCACACCAACAACTGACTATTCAGAAAAATACACTTAAAAATAAACCCAAACAACAATGAACAACACATTGTTCAGATTGCCAGAATGGGTACACATCATGTGATTGGTTCAAACCAGACCTTCCCTCTAACGACTGTATCTCATACTTGAAGCCTGTCTATATTTTGCCGTTATACATTCAGTTAATATTTTGTTCAGCATTTGTCTGTTATAGAATAGATGTTTGAATATTTTGTTTACTAATGAAGCTTAAGCAGTCAGTAAAGAATTAAAAATTTGCAACATTCTATTCATAGATTGATGCCAGCAAAATATAAGATTTATTGCAACTGTAAAAATAACTATTAGCTACTTATTTTCCAAAAATGAAAATGACCATATGAATTAATTTCCACCAACACTTTCATACTGACACCAACATCATTTGAGATTTTCATGTCATTTAATGACATATTTTACAATAAAAATTATTCATAATTTGGTACACAAATTATTCTGTAATGCATTATAGGAAATTGTAAAAAAAAACATCTAGAGGTCAAGTAAAATTAGTCAATTCGTTCTCTGATTAATTCCTTGACTGAGCAACAGATTGGGGAACATGTTAAGAAGTTTTGCCTGTTTAACTAGAGGAGATGTAATATCAATCAAGTACAACGAACGGGTAAGACAAATTTGTGTTATAATAAAACAATGTTTTTGAAGCAAGTAGTATGCACAGTTATTAATTATTTTCTGAAGCATACAAAGATTATGCTGCCTGGAAATGGAAGTGAATATTGAAATATTTTGCATACTTTATTTCCAATTCCTGAATTTTTACCTCTGTTCAAGATTTAGGTTTTGAAAGTGGTTGTAAGTAAATATATCTTGTGCATTTGTCATCTACAATAAATTGTCTTTGCACATATATATATATATATTAATTGTAATGTAGTGCCATAATAAACAGCATATTACAATCCTATAAGACTTTAATTCCACTTCAATGAAATTATGCAAAATTTATACAAATTTTATACAAATTTTATTATAATTGTAATGCTAAAGGTGATAGGTAGTAATTTTGAATTGCTATTAAAATGTCCAAACTAACCTTTCATACATTATTTCTTTGGAAGAGTCTTATATATTCAGAAGAATCAGACATCATTTGAATTAAAACATCTCATATTTAGTAAAATATATATGAAATTACAATACGTTGTTAATAAGTTTCCATGGGAGTAACCCAAAATAATTCATCTTTTGAAAAGAAAGAAAAATTTATTATCTCCCATGGAAACTTCCTAACAACATTTTTTAATTTCACATATATTTTACTGAATAGAAGATGTTTTAATATGAATGATGTCTTATTCTTATGAATATAAAAGACGTTTCGAAAGAAAAATTGTATGAAAGGTCAGTTTGGACATTTTTATAGCAATTCAAAATTACTACCTATGCTTTATTTTATCACCTTGCACTTTCATGACTTGACTGTGGTTTTTAACAGTTGTTTGTTCAAATTCTGACCGGTTTTATAAAACAAATTTCAATTTGGTAAGAATATCAAATAAATTGCAATAGATGGAGAGCAACACATACAGTTAAGTCGCAGTCAATATCACACTAATTAAAAATAACCCATAGACTAGAGTGAACAAATGGCTGGTGAATCGTCAATTCCATAGAATCACGAAAATGTATACCTGGAGTATGCAGGATTGTTATTATAAAACCCATACAAAGTAGAAACTCTTATAAGAAATAACCGTTAGTTATGTTGCAATAATTTAATGATATTAACAGTTTGCGATGCCTATGGCACTTTTATCAGGATAAAACAAATTGGGAAGTGATAATTACAAGTTGAAATATTACAATGGTAAGTAGTTATAGATATATAGTGAAAGTAGGTATTACAAAAAATACACAATTGTATGTATAGGTGGTATGGGATGATTTGTCCATCTGGTTTCAATAATCTTAAAATAGCTGATATACACTTTGTGAGAGGAGAAGTATGGTGAATATATAAAAAAAAAGAATGGTGCAAAGTTTGGAATATTTTCAACACTATGGAGTACCCATTAGATATCATCTACTGCACCTTGAATTAAAGAGAATTATTTTTAAAAGTAACAACGTTATTGCAGTTGTTAAATTAATTTTTTTGAACTTGTCAAAGAGTTCTCTTTCAATTGATGGTGAGAACGAATACATTCTATATTTGCAGAAAATGTACAAGGTGTATTTCTATATTAACAGATGATTAAAGTTCTGTTGTATTCCAGGATTATAAACTATGTGTACTTGAAACCAAACCTGATGATGCTGTATCTATTATAGAATGTGATATAAATGTAAGTTAACCTAATCAACTACATTATATACCCCAGATACGGTAAACATATTTAGATTCGAGGGCATCAATTTTTGCAGATAAAATGTATGTTTAATTAATGGTTACTAGTCTTCACAACCAATTTGATTTGCTGCAATATGAAACATTGTCAATGTAAATAGAAAGAGATGTGGGATAGACACGGAGCCTTGGCTCACACCGAACAGCAAGCTATAAAGGGCCCCAAAATGACTCGCGTTGCTCAGATTTTAGTTTTCTGTATTGTTTTATGTACTATTGTTTGTCTGTTTGTCATTTTATTTTTTAGCCATGGCGTTGTCAGTTTATTTTCGACTCATGAGTTTGAATGTCCCTCTGGTATCGTTCACCTCTCTTTTACTGTGTTTTTAGATTTTGGATTGAATTGGTCAACATTGAGGTCCAAAGGGCTCAAAATTAAACTTTGTTTGATTTCTTCAGAAATTGAATTAATGGGGTTCTTTGATATGCTGAATCTAATTGTGTATTTAGATTTTTGGGACCTGTTTTCAAATTGGTCCACATTAAGGTTCAAAGAATCCAAAATTAAACTTAGTTTGATTTTAACAAACATTGAATTCAAGGGGTTATTTGATATGCTGAATCTAAACATGTAAGTTGATTTTTGATTTTGGGCCCAGTTTTCAAGTTGGTTCCAATCGGGGTCTAAAATTCACTTTTTTTTGATTTCAACATATATTGAATATATTGGATTCTTTGGTATGCCGAATCTTACTTTGTATATAGATTTTGGATTTTGGGTCCCGTTATGAAATTGGTCCACATTGAGGTCCAAAGGACCAAAGTAATTCTCGAATTATTATTTAAGTGGAATTTTGATAAAATTATCGGATTGACATATCTAATGTCTCATATGCTTTTAAAAGTGAAAAAGCAAATATGTTATGTCATCATCATATCCATTCTGAACATAGTTTCTTAATAATTTTGTTGTTTATTACTGACTTACCGTATGTATATTATGTAGAATATCTTATCCATAACTTCATACAGAGGTGCACAAGCTATTCTTTTTCTAATACATTACTGACATGAACTTTATATATCAGGTACGTTGTTTTAAGCCGTGTAGTTCCCCGGGTTAGTTGACTGAGGCTGTGATGTGCACATGGTTAGTTGACTGAGGCCGTACCATGCACAGAGTAAGTTGACTGAGGCCGTTTTGTACAAAGGGTTAGTTGACTGAGGCTGTGATGTGCACATGGTTAGTTGACTGAGGCCGTACCATGCACAGAGTAAGTTGACTGAGGCCGTTCTGTACAAAGGGTTAGTTGATTGAGGATTCGCTGTGCACAGGGATAGTACTATGGCTGTGTTGTGCACAGCTTTAGTAAACTGAGGTTTAATGACTGAGGCTGTGATGTGCACATGGTGAGTTGTCTAAGGCCGTTCTGTACACAGGGTTAGTACTGGTAAACTGAGGTTTAATGATTCAGGTTGTGCTGTGCCCAGTGGTAGTTAACCAGAGCTGTCCTGTGCTCAGGGTTAGTAAAACAGGGTATGCTGTAAATAGGGCTGAACAAAACAGAGTATTCTTGCTTGCACACTTATATGAACCTATCTTATGTCAATAGCACTATCACTTGTTTCATTTGTCATTTTTAAAGACACACTCTTGGAGGACTTTTGTAATTTGAAAATGTGTACATCTTTCTTTTTGTCTTGCACCAAAAAAGAAAAAAAGACGTAGGACTAAGGCGTGTTGTTTCCAGTGGTAAAGTTAACAATGTATTAGTGTGTTTATTGTGAAATGATTTTTTTATATATACTAATTATTTGAACAGAATGTTATTAAATGTGGACTTATTTTCAGATTTTAATGGTAACGAAAGAGAAAGAGAGTAAGAAACGAAAGGAAGTTGATGAAGTTCCAGCTGTGGGAAATTATGTATTAACCAATTTAGCTAAATATGCCGGGGACTGGCCACAGCTAGGAAAAGTTTTGAAAGTTGAAGAGGAAGAAATTATACAGTTACATTGGTACAAGGGGTCAAAAACTGGACCCTGGTCCCCTTGTATCAAGACAGTACCAGGGACAAGAGGAAAAAGAGAAGCCTGGTGTGAGGCTGTTAATTTGCAGGACATTTGGTGTCATAGTTTTAATTTAACGCCTGCCAATAAACTTCCCTTAAAGATTAAGAAGAAAATGGAGTCCTTTTTGAACAATGTGAGTTTTTTTTATTTATTATTATTATCATTATTGAACAAATTACATTCCAGAATTCAAATTATCGACTTCCCTTCCTAACAGACAGGTAAATAGAGAATTTTTCATTGCTTGTCACCATATCAGAATCATTTATACAAAATGATTGCACGAGAATAAACTTTTTTTTTATCCGGAAATGTAATTTATCTATGACACTTTTAAATGAATAAATTCATTCGATTTGATCTTCTGATCATCATTATAAATTTTTTAAAGTACCAGTAATATACTTAAATGAATCACAAAATTTTATATATAGTATTACAATTTATTTGAACTGTAACTGTAATAGAAGACAATAACCCCATTTTGTTTTCAAACTTTTTCAGGTTCATATAGTTATACTTTTTGTACTTACAAACCTTAATAACATTTTTACACTTCTGTAGCATAAAAACATGGAGAAAGTATGATAATGCCAATATTTAGTTATATAAATTTTTACGACAAACTATGCATGTAATAACAATTTTAGGTAAAAAACCGCATGTTAAGAATGCCATACAGACACAACAAGTGGCTTGTTTGTAATAAAGTTTCCAGATTTAAGCTGGTTCATTTATCCTAGCATAAACATGTGGAAGCTCTCACATATAACTTTAGGCAAAGTTGCGATGAAAGGTAGAGTTGCATGAGATATTTATATATTTTGTATCTTTTCATATTTTGCTGAAGAACTTACTTCATTTTGAAAGGGGACTTAGTTCGTTTAATTTTTGGTTAACGATAAGAAGTATTTTTATAGGGTTAAATTGTTAAAACATGACTGAGCTATTTCAAACCTTTACAGAAACTTCTACATAACCAATAGATACTATTCAGAGTTAAAAATTGGTTATCTGATTAAATTTGTCATTATTGTCATAATGGGTTTTCATAAAACTTTGACAAATTTCTTTAAAAATATGAGGTTTTCTTCACTTTCCTTCTCTTATTTTTTCCTGAAAAAAATGGACCGGTTTTTTAAAGTTGACTAACTATACATTTTTATTTACAGTGACAGCAACTTATGCAGGCATTCACCCTTTTGTAATCGTTTAAACTGTCATACTACCATTAAATCATTTTTAAGATTTCAACTAGCAAATTCAGAAAAATTGTAAGCGTTTTTATGAAAGAAGTTGTAAATCGTATATTTTACAAAATCACAAATCTATCCTTCTTTCTTTTGGTATTAACATCAAAGAAAATGAAGAAAACCTACCATCATTATACTGGATACCAAAACTTCACAACACTCCTTAGCTGGATCATCAAGTTGTTCGACTAAACATCTTTCTAAAGTGCTGACTGGTATTCTTTCTACAGTAAAAGATGGCCTTCAAAAATATTTGATGAGATATATTCAACCAGTGGTGTCAATCAGATGTGGGTTCTTACAAATTCTTAAGATTTACTGCCAAATCTTAAATCACAATATCTGCAATTTTGCAGCAGCATTAAGACTTTTGATTACGCTTTACACTACTATTCCCTATGCTCAATTGCAAGATCGTCTTCATCATCTCATTAAACATATAAAAATGGGAACCGTAGATATCAATTTCTTAATTTGAGTTATAGTTATTCTTATTCTGTGAAGAACCACACTGAAGATGATATGAAAATGTTGGACTTTTTGATCGACAATATATTTGTTGAGTTAGGAGGATTGATATTTAAACAGACAGTCGGTATTCCAATGGATACCAATTGTGCATTCCTAATAAACGATTTGTTTGTACTCATATGAAGCAGAATTCATTCAGAACCTTTTAAAAAAAAGAAAAAAGCACCTTGCGAGATTATTTAATTTTACTTTCAGATATATGGATGATGTCCATAATTGAGTCAGTACTTACACCCTTATATCCCAGTGAACTTGTAATTACGGATACTACTGATACTCTGGAAAGACTGCTTCATACCTTCGACTTTTCCTCAATATTGACACAGATGGACGACTTCACACTAAAATCTATGACAAACGGGATGATTTCAACTTCCCAATTATCAATTTTTCATTTCTAAGGAGTAAACTACCCTCTGCCCCATCGTATGGTGTTTACATATCTCAGTTGATACACAATGCTCGTGTATGTTTACGGACTTCATATACAGGAGTGTGGTTCTTCCGGAGAAACTGCTCCAACAGAGTAATGAGGAGGAAAGATTAAAAATGACTTTCCGTAACTTTTTAAGGACACCATCACGAACTGATTGATCTACACGATGTGTCTGTGTCTATTTTTACTAACGACATTTTTACCACCTCTTAGATTGTGGTTTACTATCTTCGTCGTCTGGTCTGCTAAGTACTGAACGTGACCTATTCCCGAACATGACTGTTTTGCCGAGTGTGAATTCGCATTGCTTTACGACGTGTCTCGGTGTTTATATATCTAACATGTATGTATTTAGTTATCATGTTTCTTTTGTTAGTCTGGTTGGATATTGTTTTATGTCTTATCGTTTGTGGTTTGCATTCTATTTTCATTTTCTATAGGTATGTAAAAGTTAAGATAATTAATCAGCTATTTCAGTTATATGCTTTTTAGTTTAAAGCAACTATATGCACAGGAGTTTTTTGTTTATACATATTTTTGATTAAGATAAAAAAACAACATGATTATATAATACAAATATTTACACAATTACAAACACAATTCCGTTTTAGTATTCTTGTTATGGATAGAAAGTACATAAAAAAACACCATTACAAACTCAATCCCAATCTTATATTCTGTTTTTTAGAAATTAACCTGTGATAAAATAAACGTCGCATAAATTACGTCACTTTTTGTGGCTTTGATACATTCGTACGACGCACAGTTTATAATTATATTGTGGTGTACTGTCGTAAATTCCTGGGAGGTGTCCGTTGTTATTCTGTGGTTTACATGTTGTAATATACTATTATATTATTTATTTATGTATTTCTCTGTCCTGAGTGTTCTTGCATTTATTTGTACTTTATTCCTGTCACGTAATGTCGTCATTTTCTTGGTATTTTTAGCATTGCCATATAAGCAGGAGGTTTGGCTAGCCATAAAACCAAGTTCAAATCTCTATTTTGTCTTGAAATGTCCTGTACCAAGTCAGGAATCTGGCAGTTGTTATCAAATAGTCCGTTTCTATGTATGTTGGCGTTTGTTTTTGTTGCACTTCAGTGTTTCTGTTGTTTCGTTGTTTTCTCTTATAGTTGATGTGTTTCCCTTGGTTTTGATTTGTTATCAGGATTTGTTTTTGCTTAATCGATTTATGACTATTGAACAACGGTATACTACTGTTGCCTTTATCTAAAGCATATTTGATAATCTTGATAATCTTGGCAATTACTTTTATTTTGTATTTTTCTGTTGTCCAAGACCATCAGAATTTTTTATCTGCATTGCACACTTTTGTTCTCGTTTACATGATCAACTGTGCATTAAACTTGTCATGAGCAATAAGGAAATAACAGTTTTATATATAAAGGTATGCTGCAAACAATATAACTTATAATGTCTCCGAGACACACAATTTCACCGTATGAAATGTACATTAGGTATAAATTAAAAAATGTATTTGATTACAAGGTAAACCACAATATGTTCTAATGAGTTTGAATTGACACCTTGTACACGGGAAGTTACTACATCATAGGAGTTTAAATTCTTTGAACACAATTAAAATCTCCAATGTGAAATTAAATGTAAATAACTCTTTAAATTTTTATTGTATAATGATAAGGTTTCATTAAGAGGGGCTAGCTTATTTTTAGCATAACTTGTTTCTTCAATGAAGACAATTTTTACAGAAGAAAAGAATGAAGAAAAATCATGCAACAAAAGAAATAGAAACACAAATTACTGGACAGAAAGTCACAAGACATAAGGTAATATTATATATTTCTTAATTCAATTATTTTTTCATAATATGTCTCAGTTGTTAATAAGAAAAGAAAGAAAACAAAAAGAAAAAAAATTATAATCGCAAATTCCCGCTTTCTTTAATGAAATAAACTTTAGTGTCTGACTTATTGTTTGTTTTAGCATATTGGAATTAATTAGATATTTTTCAGATTATCAAGACAAGGAAGAAATATTGTTTGCTGTACAATCAAAGAGTAAATATTGTACCAAAAAAAAAAAAGACAACTCATTCTTTGATCGGTAAATGTATAATAATTATAATGATGATTTTCTACTAAGAAAACAATTTGTGATCAACACAAATAATATTTAGTGAAATATTTTGTTCAAGATTTAAAACATACACCCACATTTGAGCACTTGTTAGCCGAAAGTTCGTTTTTTTTATTGTTCCATAATAAGAAAATAGAACAATAAGGACAGAAAGTTATAATCGCAATAGCCGTTTTCACTTTTAAAAACAACTTTAGTTTCGGTATGATTGTTTATTTCATCATTTTGGAATTAATTAAATGTTTTAACATTATTTTTCTAAAATTACAAGAAAAAATCCAATAATCATTTAAAAACTGTTTCAAATTGGTAATGTAGAGCCTTATGTTATTAACAATAATAGTAAGTACGTTAATTTACACATCTCCGTTTCTGTACCGTTTTGGTAATTAGAACTGACCCGACAATTTACAATGTAAATAAAGGCAACAGTTGTTTACCGCTGTTTAATAGTCATAAATCGATTAAGCGAAAACAAAACCTGGTCACAAACCGAAACCGAGAGGAACACATCAACTATAAGGGGAAAATTGATACGATTGTCGAGTGTCAAGTCCAGTCAATATATTATGTCCCAGATTTTATCAATTATATCAAAACTTACTGAGAAATTAGAACTACACTTAATAGTTAAATAATAATTAAAAAGGAATTTCTTTTAATCTGAAAAGTACTTAGTCTAGGTAACTAATACAGTCTCTAGTGTCCACTCTTATTGGTACTGGATTAGTTGCTTTTTTTAAGCACTGGATTGTAATAAGTATTCTTTAGTGTTCCTTTTATTCGGCTGCTGATAAAACCAATACGGGGTCTAAGGATAAAATTGAGTACTCAAAAAAAATGTTTTACAGATCTGATACATTATATACCTTAGATACGGTAACAATATTTAGATTCGACGGTATTAGTTGTTGTATATTGGCTAAATAAATGGTTACTGGTCTTCACAGCCAATTTGATTTACTACAACATAAAACATTATCAATGTAAGTAGAAAAAGATGTGGGATAGACAACCATCAGAACAGAAAATTGGACGAAATGTTGTCAGCAACTCTACAAAAAAAGAAAATAATAATAAAAGTTCAATATTAAGGTCAATACAGTGACATTTAGACAATTATTTCTTAGTCCATTAGTTTTAAGTGGATTGTAGTCTCACTTCAATACCTGTGAGTTTACATATTAATTAAAAGTAAATAACACAATTTTTACCCCATCCATATTGCTTCATGGCATTTGTAGCAATGGTGTTAAGCAAGATTTTGTTTCAATGTGCCAAAAAATTAAGTTAATCCTTGACTGTTTAAAATTGGAAATATTATAATTTGATGATCAAAACGTTACAAAATAAAAATTAGCTTTTCTTTTGATATTTGGTTATACATGTTGTATTTAGTTTTGATGTTATATTTGTTATTCTCCTCGGATTTTGTCAAATGTCTTATCGTTTGTAGTTGTAAATCTTATTTTTTTCTGTTGTATTCGTGTGTTATGGTAAAGATAATTAATCACCCAGTTCATTAAATAGATTTTAGTTTGGGTCAACTAAATTTATACGATATATTTGGTTTACAGTTTGATTCAGAAGAAACACCGACATAGCTAGATAATACTATTAATTATCTAATTACTTCCACATTTTATATTAATTAGTATTGTAATTTTCATTGTTATTAATAAATGTTATATGAGTATTATAAATCAAATCTTGAATTCTATCCTAATTCTATCCAATTTGGGAAAATTTCAGAAATTCAAATGTGACGTCACCTTTTTTTTTGTTGATCTCTTTGGCTAACTCGGCTGTGAATTTTTATGTGCTGGTTTATGTTGTTTTATGTATCCGTTTTTATTCTGTAGTTGGTCACCACTTCGGTGTTATCATGTATATCTATTATATAGTCATTTTTATAAATTTACTGTTTGCAAAAGTAAATTATTCTAAATACTAAGGATTTTCTTATCCCAGACATATAACTTTGGCCGTATTTGGCACAACTTTTTGGAACTTTTGGTCCTCAATGCTCTTCAACTTTGTACTTGTGTTGGCTTTCGAACTTTTTTAATCACTGGTTAGTCTTGTGTGGACGAAACGCGCGTCTTGCGTATTAAATTTTAAACCTGGTACCTTTTGTTAACTATTATTCGTATGTTTCTCTGTCCTATATGTTCTCCCATTTATTTGTATTGTAGTCCTGTCATGTAATGTCATTTTAATGTTATATTTAACATTGCCATAAAAGCGGGAAGTTTGCCTAGCCACAAAACCAGGTTCAACCCACCATTTTTTTCTTAAAATGTCCTGTACCAAGTAAGGAAAACGGCCATTGTTATATTATAGTTCTTTTCTGTGTGTGTTACATTTTAATGTTGTGTTTCTGTTGTGTCGTAGTTCTCCTCTCATATTTGATGTGTTTCCCTCAGTTTTAGTTTGTAACCCGGATTTGTTTTTTTCTCAATCGATTTATGAATTTCCAACAGCGGTATACTACTTTTGCCTTTATGTATCAATCATTTACTGAATTTCAATAGATGTCAGAGTCAAAAACAGGATGGTAAAGGGATTTTTCGTGCAACACTCGTAATATTTATTTCCTATGTATTCATGCATAAACTTTATGCCTTATTGAAATTCACAGTGAAAATACAAGACCAAATCAACTGACAATAGGCCAGAGTCAATGTACAAATTAGATAAAACCATTATGATGGCACAACTTGGAATACAGTGTATTGGTTAATTGCTCATTAGTAAAAGAAAACAAAAGATGAACACATCCAAATAACACATCGAAATAATAGATATATCTATAGCAAAAACCTACATATTGGTTTTATTTCATCATAGTTTTGATGTACCAATGTCTTTTCAGGTTGATTTTGCAACTCCACCTAAGCCCATATATGCCAGACAACAGTGTGTAAGTGTCTAATAATGGTTACTGGTTAACATGAGATGTGATTTAAATGACAAATATTCTATATATATATAAAGGAAATTTTATTTATCCAGGTCACCTTGATCATCAATGACAGATATTTAGTTATTGATTAGGGCCATTATAGCAAGTGACTTATATATTTATAATGTTTGTGTCTTCATGGGTGATGATATGGACCACGGCTTATCAGGTAATAAAATAACAAAAACACCGAACTCCGAGGAAAATTCAAAACGGAAAGTTCCTTTTCAAAAGGCAAAATCAAAACCGCAAACACATCAAACGAATGAATAATAACTATCATATTCCTGACTTGGTATAGGCATTTCCTTATGTAGAAAATTAAAGATTACACCTGGTTTTATAGCTAGTTAGACCTCTCACTTGAATGACAGTCGCATTGAATTCAATTATATTGACAACAATGTGTGAACAAAACAAAGAGGCATAATAAGTAAAAATGTCAAAAATAAGAGGTACAGCAGCCAACATTGTGTTATAATGGAAGTAAACCATTTATTCACGGTCCCATTCCTTTCTATGTTAAATTCCTCAACTTCAAGTAGCCACAACCCTTTTGTCTTAACTTGAAATAAAGTGACATTCATTACAAGTCAAAGCAACAGCGTATGGTGTGTTTTACTGAAAAATAAATATACCTTTAATTGCATATAAGAGATAACTAGTTCCCGGAACTTCAAATGTACCAAAACAGGTACTTCAGATTTGACAAACAGGCAAAATGTACCCTCTTTTTTACATTCACGCACTCTTTTATTATTTATCATTATTAGTCAAAAAGTGTTCTACAATGATCACCAGTCATTCAGCTTTCATTTGATACCAACGTTACAAAATATTCTACATATTTGAAAATAACACCTATTTTGTGTTAAATATGTACTACTTTTTCATATGCATTTTAGTGGTGTTTCACGTACAAAAGACCCAAACTTGCTATATTGACTTCTGCATTAATTAATTTCATTTTATGATCTATTTCAAGCCATGAGACATATAAAGTTTTAGTCCAAACACTATTTTGCTGATTTTGTTTGCCCAAATCGGACTGGTAGTAACATATGGGTTCTGCAAAGAAAACTGCATATGGATATTACCAATGGCTAATGTGATTTTTTTTTCAATATCATGGTTCTAATTTGTTAATGTCTACATGGTAAACAATGTTCTTACCAATAGTCATACTTTTATCAGAGATTGTTCATTAGATAAAAATATATTAGTCCAAACCTAAAACATAATTGAGAATATTGTCCCCCCTTTTTTCTTCAAATTAGAAAGGGACATTTTTGGTATAAACCATACATCTGTGGTATAAACAAATAATTATGACCAATTTATATATCCCATATACTATAAATCATAACATCAGCTTGTTAGAAACCTTTTCGTCATTGATGTTATACTTAGTGCTGATATAAACATGTATATCAGTTTACACAGCTTTGTTTGTGATAGATATATTACATTTATTGTTAGGTATAACTTTAATACATTAAAATATTTTTTAACTCATACTTATTCTTGGTGGTAAATACTGACTAGTCTCAATTTGTCTATAAAAAATTTAAAAAAATGTAAAAACAACACGTTATATAAATTCATGCGTCCGAAGCTCTTTTCTGGATTAAAGGTAGTAAACTCACTGTCAATATGAATAGTACCGTTATTGAATAAAGGATTTTACCTTCAAATAACTGATCATGTGAAATAACTATTTTGTATTATAGAATAAAATGGTATATATTTTTTTATAAGAAATAGATATTTTGCATATTAAAATAAAAAACAAACTATTTTTTTTTATTCAAATTTGTTTTTTTCTTTTTCTGTTGTTGTAAATTTGAGATACTTTGGTTATGTTCGCATGGCCTATGGGCGTGTGTTTTTGAAAAAAAGTGACTTGTGTTTTACTTAACTTTGCCTTATAACTTTAACAAATTTTTTTACTTTTGAATGACTGGTCTTTATGCTTATAATTATTCTAGCTTACCAGTTCAAAGAATTTTCTAATGCGCATGTACTGATTTTGTTGTTTTTCATGATATTGAATGATATGAAAATTCCAGTTACAGATATCATGTCATTATATCTTATAACAATACTATGGTTATATTATGCTGAAATATTAGGAAAATTAAGTCAAAGTCAGTATATAAAAGCATCCTGTCAGGAGGTCAAATATCTTGTTCTTGTAATGGTTTTTTACATAAAAATCGACCTCCTGATAAGCAAAAATGAAAAAACTAATGTTGAAAATTTGTAGAACAAAGTTCTGAAATTCATGCAGAAATAACTAATCACGCCGGCAGTCAAAAATATTAAGTCTAGTTTTGTTAAGAACTACAACTATAAACTACTGTCACAATGTTTCAGGTACAAGTCAGTGTAAAACTAAAACATTTTTCACTACATAATTGATATCATTGTTATTTTCATAAATTTTCCTTTGATCTTTCTGCATTATTGAATTTCATCTCATGCTACTCGATTGATATGAGTTTTTCTCAGTGGAATAGATAGAGAATGCATGATGTCATTAGCCTGGGTAATTGACATTTCTTCGAAAAACAGCGAGATAAACAGATTATCACTGATCCTTTGACCTAGATGACAGTTCTTGACTACATCTCATCGTAGGGTTCTTGCAGTACCATGCGATTGTAGCGGAGAAACACCCTGATTGAAAAATCAGTGGTTATATAAATAAATGTTGCAAGTTCATATAATCAACTATTTTGATGCAAATCTATAATTATACTAAAGAAAAAAGAGAGAAATGATCATCCTTTGTCCCTTAAAATAATGTCATACAAAAATTAAGTCAGCATACAAGATTGTTAATCTGATTTAATTTGTATATAAAATCCAATCGTTTGATTAGTTTAAGTCAAACTAATCAAAAGCAGCATTCAGGGCTGTGAAAAAAAGACCATTGACACAAATTCACAAACTATCTAGCATATAATATGTGTAACTCAAGATTTTAGTAAATTTATTAATTTTAGTAAATTTCTTAATCTTAAAAGAAATTTCTTAATCTTAAAAGAAATTTCAGTCATCAATTTATAAAGTTTGTTTGTATAGTCTGTTTTCAGCAGAAATAACGGTCTTTTATGAAAAACGATCACGTTTCATTATAATGTTATGAAATTAGGTGCACTAATAATGACATTCCTTAAATGAAATTTACCATTTATGATTTGTTTATCAAGTACGTATTTTCATTAATCATTTTTTTTCTTTTTTCAGAGTCCATCAGACATGTCCAAATATCTGCATAAGACATTGATTGTAGGTATACAGTATATGAGATGAAATTATAAAGTGTAATTATTTAGTTGAATTAAATGGATAAACCAGATTTTTGTAGTATGTCTAAGGCTGTCTCATCAGAGGTTTTCAGAACGTCTTTTTGTACCGGTTTAACAAGTAAATTTCATATTGATTTTCAAAATTATACATTTTTTATTGAAAAATAATCTTAAGAAGTGAAAACAATATATGTATAAAATGTAATACTCTTATTGAAAACATTGGGAATTATAAACTGTGTTCTGCTCTTTGGTTGGGTTGTTGTCTCTGACACATTCACCGTTTCCATTCTCAATTCTGTATTATTCTATACATTTTAATGTATGATTTAAATTGAATATGGATTCATTCCAAACCTTCTAACCCGTTACAGAATTATTCTTACATGGTAATGGAACTCTTTGTTTAATTTTTAATATCAGGCATTTAGTGGTTCTGGTAATAGGTTAGATGAAAAAAAGGGGATAGTTGTTTATTCACGATGTTTACAGGAGTGTAATGAAATACTAGCATATACTTACAGTAAAAGAAGTTTTTTTTAAATAAAAAGATGAGTATTTTGATATAATATTTAAAAAAAACAAAAAAATAAATTATATTCAAAAGTTTAAAAAGGGACATGCATATAAGGAAAACCAAGGATGCAAACAGCTGATTGTTTTATGTTGACTTAACAATAATTTGATATTGACATAACAATCCATTTAATGAAGTTAATTAATGTAACTTAACTTTGTATCAGAAAGTCGAAACATAAGAACAATATGTTTTTTAATCAAAACGCCAAAATGAAAATAACTGTTGTCTTTTAGTCAACATAATATATATATATTCTATTTTGGACTATTTTAATAACGGGATTAGAATCTCGTAGTTTTTTCAGGTTGTGAAGTGTTGTGAAATAGTCACTGATTTATGGCCCCCGTTTTTATACATTATGTCTTTGCATTTAGCCATACTTCTGTCATGAAATATATTTTTAGATGACTGAAATAAAGCGACAAAGTTTTTTTCTTACGAAAAAAGTTAATTTAATGACATACCATCAATAAATACAACAGTGATTTTCTACAAAAAAACATTTTTTGATCAACACATATAATATTTAACGAACTTATTAATTTTTAAGATTAAATATAAAAAAGAAATGGCACTCAATTTCTCATTTTAATATACACAATCATGTCTCCGAGACACATAATTTCACCATATGACATTTATTTTAAGTGTGAATTATTTGATTACCAAGTAGGTGTAGCAAGCTTTAAAAACAGGTTTTATCCACCATTTTCTACTTAAAAAAACGCCTGTACCAAGTCAGGAATATGGCAATTGTTATCTATTCGTTTGATGTGTTTGAGCTTTTAATTTTTCCATTTGCTTGGGACTCTCCGTTTAGAATTTTCCTCGGAGTTCGGTATTTTTGTTATTTTACTTTTCACAATATGTTCTAATGAATTTAAATAGACACCTTGTACACGGGAAGTTGAATGGTTACTCAAACACAGTAGTTCAAATTCTGTGAACGCTATTAAAATTCCCAAAGTGAAATAAAATATAAATAACTCTTTAAATTTGTATCGTATAAATGATAAGGTTTCATTAAGAGGGGCTAGTTTATTTTTTAGCATAACTTGTTTCTT